AATCTGCGCTGTTGTGTGAAACTATCTCTGTTCAATTCATTTTTCCTCGACAAAATTTATTATAACTGATCCATACACCGAAGTATCTCAAATGTTTTCTAATTAATAATTCAATATGTTGAATTTTTATGATGGATTCGGATTAGGTGCCATTACCGAATTCATTTCAGTTTCAGATCATAGTTCCTGTTTTGGAAAGGGTTATCTTGCGTCCTGTTTCGTCATCAGCAGAGCCGCCCTTAAACCGTTCTCAAATAATTACTATCAATTAGATATTCAGTAAACTTATCTTAGTCTAACACAGGGGAACTAAAACATGATTCCTAGAAAGGACTGAACCTACCACACTAAAAATATCCTGTGAGATGTGCTTGCTTTTTATCTCGTTTTAGTAAACACTATCAGACATGTTTACAGCTTGCCGGCCACAGCCACTGAGCGGGCGGGGAAATCGTCTCATCCTTCGTCCTATGGCACAACTTCTGGAAATGTCTTCTGACGAAAATTGACTCTCCAAGACACCATAGTTCGGTACTCAGGGTTGGACATTGGGGATCTTGGGACAGTAATGCAGCATCGAACAGTGTGGAAAGGGGTTGTCAATAGAATTCCGACCAACTATAGGAAGGTCGAAGGATGATGATGATGAAGTCCTTGACGAATTTACTGTTGCAGTTTTTGGGGTATGTTTACTAGGGAGCTAGCCCAAATGACTTGACTCACTTTATAGTCTACCAATAGAAGGTTAACCAATCAGAAGACGTAAAATATTCAATCCGTCGTGTATAAAAGCGGCCATTTTGTTTACTCTCTCCGAATGTCCAGTGCCAACTTGTCAGGCGAAAGAACAGAAGGAAGAACTACTGAACTACGCTCTGCTACTTTTACCAAAATATCCACTGCTAACCTGAACTACGCTTTCCTACTGTCTTCGAAATATTCACTGCTAACCTCTGGATTCTATACTCGAAGACAACCGTCATCATGAACAACATTTACAGGTTGATGTTTTGGTTACGTAACAATTTGCGATGTTGTGTGAAACTATCTCTGGCAAAGCCTGTTCTATGTACAATTTATTTTTCTCCCATACTAAAATTCCTATAACTAATCGATACTAATTCCATATGTTGAATTTTTATGATGGATTCACATTAGTTGCTATCACTGCTCTCAGTCCGGTTCCAGATCATAGTTTCTGCTTTGAAAAGTTTCATCTTGAGTCGCATTTCTTGGAACCCTTGATAGAGAATGCTGATTATCAGATCAAAATCGTTCTTATTTCAACTATGTATACCTAAGTCATCAGCATATCCCCTCTGCTGTGTTCTGTTTGAAATTCTAATTTCATGAAGAAGGCCGGAGCTTACAACGATCGAAACGTCGTGAATATGACAATAAAGATAATGACAACAGTCCGAACAATGTAAATAATGTCCTATATTTGACGGCATATCAGGCGCACTTTTTTTTTTACTAAAGATATCTTTTTTAAATTCCCCTGCGTCTTATATGCCATATGTAGGGGGCACCTCGAGGTGGTGTAATGGTTAGCAAGCTTGTCTCGCTCGAGCTATTACGATTGAGTAGTAAGTTCGATCCTCACTGGGTACCCCTTACTTTCGGCCTTGTGCCACATCCAAGCTACGCTTGGAAAATCACTATATGCCATATGTAGGTTTAAAATTCGCGATAGTCAGCCGAAATTAGCTACCTGGCAACTCCTATAAGCTTAGACTTTAGAGTACCTTTCATATACCTATTGTCATTATTTAAAAGGTTATTATGCAGATTAAAAGTGTTATCATTGATACTATTCATTATATTAAGTTCATCACGTTTAATATTAGTTCTTTGTTTCACTAAAATTATATGCAATAAATTCAAATTATATATTTGTAAAATATATTTGTTTCATTAATATTTTTCTTGCGATAACTTCCGGTTGCATTGGTATAAATACAATCAGAATTTTTATATCCTAATTATTCCAATAAGACATTTACAAGACACAGGTTGTACAGATCATATAAAGGAAAAGTTTTGACTGAATTTTAATGGTAACTGTACTGTTTTGTTCAGTTGTAATAATTGCTTGATTTTTATTTTGTTTCCTTAACTTTGGATATAATAAAGATTTTATAGGCTCATTTTCTTTCTTTCCTATTATTCTTTGTTTAATTGTAATCGTGGCTTGTTTAACCAAAATAATACCTCATAAATATAGCCTAGGCTGTACCATTTACTAATAATTTTACTAATTTCTAATTTTTAATTTTTTCTTGATTTGCCCTGCTGAAAATGGGGTGCGTCTTATACACCCGTGCGTCTTATATGCCGTCAAATATTGTAAATAATTGCAATACCTTATCGAAGAAATATCGACAAAAAATGAGTTCTGAACTGCTATTTAATAACAATCCTGTATCGCAGTGAATACTGGATACAATCTGCTCACTGATGGTGAGATGGTCTGAAGGAAAAGAAATCTAGTTCTACAGAAGGATGCTGAGAATACACTTTACGGAACATATGAGAAGTGAGGAAGCTTTTAGGCAAATGATAACATAAAGGACATTTAGAAACGTCAAGACAGTCGACATTTCCGGGAGGCATAATGAAGAAAGAGAGCTTGGAGAATTTGAAACACACAAGACACATTGATGGCAAGATACGAAGATACAGCATTTTTAAAGGGCTGAAAAAATAGGTATTAACCAGAAACAGTCATAAAAAGGTATATATATAAGGTCATTTTTATTTTACACTGGTAGAAATCAGTCAGTTATGTGCCATGCGTAATACACGCTTAGGCGATCATGTATATTTCGATACATGACTGACGAGGCAGATTTTTCCGTAGTTGCCATCCAAGATTATCGAACATGATCTGTCCTGCTATTTACCCATAGAAGAAGAGGATTCACAACTTTCCCAAGGTTATTAGCACGTAAGTGAATGCAGTGGATTTGACTGGAATTCGAACACGGCTCTCCGATTCCTCAATCCGAGCCGCTATCCATTACACCACCGTGCCATATAAAAGTTAATTAACCAAATATTAACTACAAACGAAAAATTGTCTTCTTATTTATATGGGAGCACAATCAGGTGCAAATATATCTATTCTTATGGCTGTTCTCTACTATCTAATCCCTGCTGCAGACGTCTGCTCAGGCACATTTGTGTTTGTTCAAAACCCACCTGTGGTCTATACTGCAGTTATGCTGAGTAAAATTTAGTTACAGTTTCAGCCAGAGAGCGCATTATCTTTCATGATCAGCTGTATACTCAAACTCTCGGTCACGATGACTTGTCACTTCGTGCTAACGCAGCCATCGACGGATCACAAATAGTTCCGTCTACCCATTTTCACTTTTAAGGCTTTGGACAACCTGCATGGATATTAATGAGACACATTCGAGAAAGGTATGAATTAATCTCTTTCCCCCCATTATGGATTAAATAGTAAGACTTTTACCTGTAAAAATCATGCAGTAATCAAAAAAAAAAAAGAAATATTCTTACAATCCGAAAATGTTTCAGTTTTAAATAATCCACAGTGAAGAAAAGAAGCCATAAAAATCGATCAATCAATAAATTAATCAACAAGTTTATCAACAAATTAATCAATAAATTAATCAAACAATTAATCAATAACTTAAACAACAATCAATGAATAAATTAATCAATAAATTAAAAATAAATAAAATAAACAATCAATGAATTAATTAACAAATTAATCAGTAAATTGATCAATATTTAAAACAATCAATCAATAATTAATCAATCAATTAATAAATTAATGAATAGTTTACTTAATCAATAAATTAATCGATCAACTAACAAATTAAACAATAAATTAATCAATCAAGTGATCAATCAATAGATAAAATAATCAGAATAAACCATTCAATAAATTAATCAATGAATTAATCAATAAATTAATAAATCAATTAATAAATTAATCAATCAATTAATTAATCAATAAACTAATCAGTAAATTAATCAATCAATAAATTAGTAAATTAATCAATTAATCTAGAAATTAATCAATAATTTAATCAATCAATTAATCAATAACTTAATCAAACAATTAATTAATCAATGAATAAATTAATCAATAAATGAATCAATCAATTAATAAAGTAATCAATCAATTAATTACTCAATAAATTATTCAATAAATTAATCAATCAATCAGTAAATTAATCAATTAATCAAGAAATTAATCAATTATTTAATCAATCAATTAATGAATAAATTAATCAATCAATTAATTAATCAATGAATAAATTAATCAATAATTAAATCAATCAATTAATCAATCAATAAATCAATAAATTAATCAAAAAATTAATCAAACAATAAATTAATCAATCAATTAATCAATCACTAAATAAATTAATCAATAAATTAATCAATCAATCGCCGTAGAAAACATGGCCAGTGCTAATTCCCTGGAGAGTAATACATTGCGTCTTCTTGGTCTAACTTTTTCTACTGATATGAACTGGATCAATTATATCGACTCGATTCTTAAGTCTGCTAATGAGAAAATTGGATCCCTGTCTCATCAATATCTATCTAGCACCTTTTTAAGTCTCTCATTCGTTCAGGCATTGAATATTAGTTGCTACATCAGATCTGGTGCTTGTTATGCATTTAGAGATTCCTGACAAAATCCAGAGAAAAATCAGCAATGTTATAGGTCCTAACCTGGCATCTCAGCTTCAGTCCCTTAATCACCGAAACATTAATAAATCTATTTAAAAGCTTTAGCTCCCTCAAATAACCGCTCAGAACCTTTTAAGTTTTATAAAGCAATAACATTAAGCAAGATACAGAAGAAGAAAATTTCAGCTAATGAAAACACTCCGACTACGCGGCATTTTATCCCGAATAAAGTCAAATCAAACGAAAGTTTAAATTGAATCTTCCTGAATAATAAAAGTTAATACCTCGAACATGTTTGTTATCCCATTTTTGTATCAATTCAGACCCGTTCTCTTTTTTTAAGGCATCCAGGCAGCCAATCGTCTCTCTTGGTTTGGGCGCGAAATGAGGTCAACGGAAGAATTGACAACAGACGGTTTAAGATTCATTTCACTCTTTCGGATGCATCATCGACACGAAGCAGAGGACATTAAATCAGCAATATCACACGTTTGACTTTCTGTAAATCGATAAAAAAAAACTAACAAGGAAAGAAAGAAAGAAAAAAGAAAGAAAAAAGAGGAAAAGATTGTTACCCACGGAAAATTTGAAGACATTAGTTAATTGGCAAGAAAATAATAATAATAATAATAATAATAATAATGTGGCAGACGGGAACATCAACAGTCACTATTGAAGTTGGAACCCTCGGATTGATTGGAAAAGATACCAGTAGACTCACTGAAGGGATCCCTGGAAGCCCATGCCTTAAAGAAATACGAAAAAATGTTCTCACGAGTACAGCCCACACCTTACGAAGGGCTTTATCTATGTAAAATGTGCGTGTTGCCTTTTTTCTAATTGCTCAGTGGAAAATGTCATGATGCTATTTCTGACCTCAGGTCTCTGGGCGGGACCCGGAACGAAATGTGTACACACCAGAATTCAAAGGAAATAATAATAATAATAATAATCGCCCAGACATCGTTATTTGAGAGCGCAAAAAAAAAAAAAAAGTGCCACCTTATTGATAGGGCAGTCCTTGAAGACTGCAATGTATCTTTGAAGATCTTCAAAAAACTATCAAAGTACAAGGACATTGAAATCGAAATCTCAAAAATATGGCACATGGGAACATCAACAATCCCTGTTGTAGTTGGAGCCCACGGATTGATTGGAAAATATTCCAGTAGAAGTCATTGAAGGGATTCCTGGAAGCCATGCCTTAAAGAAATACACAAATTGTTCTTACGAGTACCGCCCACACCTTACGAAGGGCTTTATCTATGTAAAATGTTTTTTTTTTTTTTTTAAATTGTTCAGTGGAAAATGTCATGATACCATTTCTAAGCTTAGTTCTCTGCTAGTAATATTATTGGAATTAAAAAAAAAACAAATCCTGAAATGTAACCATAACAACATACCACTACCTACCTTAGGTCTTCCTGCAGTCTTGGTAGATACTGTGATCATAGCGGAAGTCGAAGTATAATACTACTAATAATAGTACTATTACTAATAAAAAAAGAACAGAATATGCTTTCTTATTGACATGGCAGTCACTACAGACTGTAATGTATATTTGAAGATCTTAAAAAATCTATCAAACTTCAAGGATCTTGAAATGGAAATCTCAAAAATGTGGCACATGAAGACATCAATAATTCCATTTGTAGTTGGAACCCTCGGGTTGATTGGAAAAGGTGATGAGAAACTCATTGAATGGATTCTTGGTAGCCCATACGTTAAAGAAATGCAAAACATTATACTTACAAGTACAGCTCACACATTACGAAGAGCTTTATCTATGTAAAATGTGTGTGGTCTTAGTTTTTTTTTTTTTTTGTGATCAGTGGAAGAAGTCATGGACCCATTTCGGATCTTAGGTCTCTGGTTGGGCCCCGGGACGAAACAAAAGAAATCAAAGGAACTAATTATTATTATTATTATTATTAATAATAATAATAATAATAATTATTATTATTATTATTATTATTATTATTATTATTATTTCCATTGATTTCTGTTATATACTCATTACTATTTTTGTAAGTATTATTTGATACTCATCATTATTATTGTAATTATTATTATTAATATTATTATTATGTTTGTTATCCCTTGTTATATCAATTCAGCCCCGTTCTCTTCCTTACAAGTACAGCTCGCACATTAGGAAGAGCTTTATCTATGTAAAATGTGTGTGATGTTAGCTTAAATGTGATGAAGTCATTTTTGGCTGTAGAACACGGAAGGAAATGTGTATACAATAGAAATCAAAGAAAACAATAGAAATCAAAGGAAATATTATTAATAATAATAATGATGATGATTCTTGTAACCTAGAAAGGGTTACTGAATGAGGAATAACCCAAACAGAGGTTGGAAATGAAATGGTAATCTTTATAACATCAACAAAATACAATACTCGCCAGCGGCCTGAAGTAGGTAAACCACTGCTAGTGGTGGACTACGTAGACAGCATATATACCTCCACTTACAGTAGTGTCCAACGTATTTATGAGGATTGAGACATACCCATTACTATTCATGTGTACGGTATTTAATAGATAGATAGATATGAAGAAAAAGAGATAGATAGATAGATAGATAGATAGATAGATAGATAGATAATATAGTGATTGTGAAAGTGTTGTAACCTAGAAAAGGTTACTGAATGAGGAATAACCCAAACAGAGGTTGGAAATGAAATGGTAATCTTTATAACATCAACAAAATACAATACTCGCTATCAGTGTGAATTAGGTAAACCACTGCCAGTGGTGGACTACTTAGACACCATATTACGATATTTACCTGCCTCCCTAAGATGTAGGGTGTGGCACAAGGCCAAATTCAATGTGGGGAAATCCGAGTCCGTGGGATTAGGCAAAAATTGCTCTTAGAATCCACATATGCGGGATCGGGTATCTGTCTACCTCCCCGGACAAGTTTCTGTCCTTCGGCATAGCCTCGTCCGGGTTCCTCTCTTCCAAAAGGCAGAGTTCGACTAGGTAAGATCTTCACATGCTGACAGCTCACGCTAGACAACAGATTATCCCCACTTACAACGTATTCATGAGGATTAAGACATACCCATTAGTGTTCATAGGTACGGTATATAATAAGAGTGGTAGTAGTAGTAGTAGAAAATGTTAGGTCAGAAGCAAATTGAAGAACGCTGGAGCCAAAATCCTCTGCAAAGCGAAAATGTTAATGTAGATCAATTCGCTGCTAATCAGTTGTTAAGGAGTTCAGGGCATGAGGATAAAAAAACCCCCAAAAAACAGCTACAAATTGGTATGCACATCATCTTGAATCTGTAGTTGACGGAGCAGATGTTAGCATCTTCGGGGATTTTTCCTATCAATACAAACCAAACAATAAAGGCAAATCGCTCAGAAATTATTGAATCGATAGAAAAGAAAAAAAAATGTACACTAGTAGACATGATCGTACCAGGTGAGGTAAAACGCCTCTTTGCAGATTTTTGAAAGCAATAAGCATATACAAAGGCCTGGAGATGGATATAGAAAAACAATCTTTCAGTTATAGTTAGAGTTTTGGATCTGGTAAAGAATCTCAAGAACAAATCAACGAAATCCGTCGTGTACAATCTCTCATGAGGAGGCACGGATATCAGCTTGGATTGAGGAATCGGAGAGCCGAGTTCAAATTCCTATCAAATCCATTACATTCACTTACGTGCTAAAACCCCTGGGAAAAGTATGAATCCTCTTCTCCTCCTCCCAGTTATGGGTAAATAGCAGAACAGACCGCGTTCTATAGCCTTGGATGGCAACTGGTTTACCACAGAAAGAAATGACAACCTACTGCAGGAAACAAATCTGCTTCGTCAGTCATGTATCGAAAGATACATGATCGCCTAAGCGTGTATCACGCATGGCAAATAACTAATTGACCCTTAGGAAAGGTATGAATACTCTTCTTCTTCCTCAGCTATGGCGAAATATAGCCTTTGATGGCAACTGGTCTATCCTAGAAAAAATGGCAACCTACTGTGGGAAGCAAATCTGCCTCATCAGTCATGTATCGAAAGATACATGATCGCCTAAGCGTATATCACACATGACACATAACTCACTGACCATTGGGAAAGGTATAAATACTCTTCTTTCCCCCACCATCTATGGGGAAATATAGCCATGGATGGCAAATGGTCTATCCCAGAAAGAAATGGCAACCTACTACGGGAAAAAAATCTGCTTCGTCAGTCATGTATCTTTCGATATATGATCGTCTGAGCGTGCATCACACGTGGCACGTAACTGACTGACCTTTAGGAAAGATATGAATCGTCTTCTTCTCTCCCATCTATGGGGAAATATAGCCTTGAATGGCAACTGGTCTCCCGCAAGAATAAATGGCAACCTATTTGCGGGAAAAAAATCTGCCTCGTCAGTCATGTATCGAAAGATACATGATCGCCTAAGCGTGTATCACGCATGACTCATAACTGACTGACTCTCTAGGATACCCCTAAAAATAGTTTAACAAGCACAACCCATATTCTGCGATGGCTCTGGTCTATTTAATGTTTTTTGTTAATAGCTACTTTTTGTTTAATATAATTATAATAATAATTATTATTAGTGTTAGTATTCCCATTATTATTATTATTATTATTGATTGTTTCTTCCCCTTAGCAAAAATTCGAACCTATCAGTGTTTAAGGAGTTCAAGGTGCGACTGATGGGATTATTCTGACACCACAAGACTAGAGCCTGCTTACACACATCTACCAAGTTTATATCTTGCATGATGACAAAGTTGGTCAATGTTTGCATTGGGTGATCTTTCACCACTACGGGAGAAAAACAGCTACAAATTGGTATGAACATCATCTTGAATCTTTTGTTAACGGAGCAGATGTTAGCATCCTTTGGAATTTTTCCTATCAATACAAATCGAACAATACAAGCAAATCGCCCAGTCATTATTGTCAAAAACAGAAAAGAAAATTGCACATTGGTTGACATGAGCGTATCAAGTGAGAAAAAAAAACTATCTCCGTAGAGATGTAAAAAAAAAACAAAAAAAAAACAAATGCAAAGGTCCTGGAGATAAGAAATAGAAAAAAAGATGTGGCACTTATAAATGAAAAGTTCCTGTTGTGGTTGGAGGTTTGTGTCTGGTAAAGAAAGGTACCCATAAACAAAATTATCTCTCAGGGAAATAAAAATCGTTCTAAAATGCACAGCCCATATCATGCCAAAAAAGCTTCAAAAAATTAAATGCAACATCAATTGTATATTTCTGTCTCCCTGAACCAACTGATAGAGCCGTACGAATATACAAAGCCCACTGTACCCAACATGTCAACTAGTCTGATAACTGAAAGCTTTGATGATTATTATCATTTGATATTTGAGATCATCACAGATCCTGTGAAGATTCGGCAAAAGAAGGAGATGGTTACATATATCAGCTCCTTCCCGCAGCTTACAGGCATACTATTATTATTATTTAAAATAAAGTTACACAATCTTAACTTCTTAATAAAATAAAAGTGTATAATAATTTCATGTTGTTGGGCCAATTTCACCTGAAATTAAAGCATCCATACAAATTTTAGAACGGCTCATGATCAAACATAAGACATTCATTGTCTGTTATACTTAACAATATATATATATATATATATATATATATATATATATATATATATATATATATATATATATTTTTTTTTTTTTTTTTTTTCAACATAAAATTTATCACAACTACATCTAAAATATTAAGATTTAATATAAAACAACCCAAAACTTGAAGGAGGAATTTGTACTATCGCTTGCGAGGATTGCTAGAAAGAATATATTGGAGTAATCAAGAAGTTTAAATAAAAGATTATATGAACACTGTTGAAACTTGACTAATGCATGGAATAATAATGCAACACAAAAGGTACTTAAAACAAAATGTATTGAAACAAGAAAGTGTACACAATATTTACATATAGTCTTTTGTATATTCCTGGTAAGACCGTTCCTGGAGAATGTGTTGACCGAGTTGCAGTCGGGCAGAGTCTCTTGATTCCTCCCTCTCTTCCCGGTACCAACCATATTTATATGGTCGGTACTCCACTATGCAAATTAGGTGGATCCTACCAAAACAAACACAAAAGAGACATTTTAAAAAACCAACACAAAATGCATTGGTTGTTCACCATAATGAAACTGGCCACAATTTTGATATAAAAAAAATATTACTCTAATTAAGAGAAAATAATTAAGATGAAAATGTTTAGAAAGTGATTTAATCGCTAGTTCATCCACAGTAAATTTGCATCAAGTTTCTTATTACGTTTCAGCATTCTTGGCAGATTTTCTGTTATCAAAATGTGGGGTATTTAATATCAAAGATGTTGGAAAGATAAATTTGATAACTAAAAAGATAAATTTGGTAGGATTACCAAAAAAAAAAAAAAAAAAAATTCTTTCAAATTCCCAATCTTTGTTGCTTTGAATAAATATTCTCTTTTGGTTATCTCTCTTAAATATTGTTCCGACATTCATCTACACAAGTTAGTCCTTCTTTTTTATATGCCGTATCCCTTGAAGACGTTGGCGATCATGGCTCTCCACAATTTCCGGTCTTTTGTAGCTCTTAATAAATTTTAATTTTTTGTTATCTCTCTTAAAACCTCCTTCTGCCATCAATTTTTAGACAGGTTATGCCGTTTCTTGCCTTCAAACTGTCGTGTGTTAAATTTTCCAAGCCTTCTTTCCTCATTATGCGCTCTAGAAAATTGAACTGTGTCTGATGCTAAGTATACGTGTCTTTTTTTCTATTTTCTCTAGAAATTCGCCGGTGATAATATGTTCGTTTCATGGTATTGTCAGAATCCTTCATTTCTGTTGCGTCAGGTCACTTCTTGATCAGTGAGATTGTTCAACAATGACTGTCATATCGGACGACTGGTATTACATAACACCTCAGTAATCTTTTCTTTGTTTCTCTTGCTTCAAGTCACTTCTTCATCTGTGAGGAGATTGTCCAACATTCACTGTCATGTGACTGATATCACATAACAATTCAATACTCTTTTCTTTGTTTTTAATGAAATTTTCCTGTTTCTTAATACTTTGCTTCGCTTTTGGAAGACATCTTTATCTATCTCAGTGCGACTTTGGATTTCAGTGTCCCAATTTCCGTCCTCTGTTAAAACACTTATTTTTAAATTGTTGTACTTGTTTGGCTTTGCTATCTAAAAACTGTTAAATATAATGTCAAGGTTAACATCGTCTATGTTTGGTAGTTTCGCATTTTCCAGTAGTAGTAGTAGTAGTAGTAGTAACATTAGTAGTGGTATTAATAAAAGTTAGAAAGAGAAGGAAAATAAGAAAACGTGGAAACAATCAAAATACAAATGAATGGAGAAATGAAGGAATGAATAAATGAATGAATGAATGAAAGCAGCAGAAAACTGAAAAGCGGTGGTGTATCTTTTAATCAATTCACCCCAAGCAAGGCGATGACGTCACTAAGACGCAAGGGGTTATTAGAATAGAAAGAGAAAGAAAAGATTTTAGAAGTAACCGGAAATCAAATAATAGTATAAATTTCAAAGTTTAAGAGACTTTAGAAGTATAGAGTTGGATTAACAATTAAGAAGGAACCAGAAATCCAATCCTGAACAAAAAGCCGAGGATAGATTTATAGTTTTGTTAAAAGAATGGGGAGGAGTGCGAACTGGACGACAGGTGGAAGGAAAAAAGAAGAAAAAATAACGGAAGAAAGAATAAAGAGGGATGAGTGATAATAAATAAATAAATCATAAATAAGTAATGATTAAAAAGAAAGAATGCAGTAAAAAGAATGAAAAATAAAGAAAGACTTGTAATAAGAGGAAAAGAGAAAACAAAGGAAACGACTAGTGAGAAGTAATGAAAGAATAAAAATGATTGGTTGAAAAGAAAGAAAGGAACAGAAGAAAAAAAATGTAAAACAGGAAAAGGAAATGAAAGCGATGTTAAAGAAAGAAAGAAAAAAGAAAGAAAGAAAAAAGAATTAAACTGTGAGAAGAAACAAAATGAAAAGAAAGTAATATTGAAGTTAGAAAGAAAGAAAAAGGAACGAAAGAAAATATAAAACGGAAAAAAATGAAGAGAAAGCAATAATTAACTGAGAAAGAAGGAAGAAAAAAGAAAGAGAGAAAGAATGGAACTGCAATGAGAAAAATGGAAAAAAATGAAAACAATGTTGAAATAAGAAAGAAAGAAAGAAAGAAAGAAAGAAAAGAAAGAAGGATAGAGAGAAAGAACGAAATAAAAATGTAAAAAGGGAAAATGAAAACAAAGCAATGCTAAACTCAGAAAGAAAGAAAAAAGAAAGAGAGAAACAAAGAACGAAACGGTAATAAGGAAAAAGAAGAAAGAAAGAAATATTAAACTGAGAAAGAAAGAAAGAAAGAAAGAAATAAAGAAAGAAAGAAAGACGGAAAATAACGAAAGAAAAAAGAAAGAAAGAGAGGAGGGAAGTAAGAAAGAAAGAAAGAAAGAAAGAAAGAAAGAAAGACGGAAAGAAAGAAAGAAAAAAGAAAGAAAGAAAGAAAGGTATAAAAGAAAGTAAAAAGAAATGAAGGGAAGAAAAAAAACGAAAATGAAAAACAATAAAAATGTAAGGAAAGACAAAAGAAAGAAAGATATACAACAAAAGAAAGCAAAAAGTAACGATAGACAAAGAAAGAAGAGTAAAAAATTTAGGATAGGCAAAGAAAGAAAGAAAGAAAGAAAGAAAGAATTAAAGAAAGAAAGAAAGAAAGAAAGAAAGAAAGAATAAGTCAGGAAAGGCATAAAAGAAAGTAAAAAGAAATGAAGGGAAGAAAAGGCCGAAAAGGAAAAAACAATAAAAAAAACTAGGAGAGACAAAAGAAAGATATACAATAAGTGAAAGCAAGAAAGGTAAAAGACAAAAAGAAAGAAAGAAAGAAAGAAAGAAAGAAAAAGAGAAAGACTGGACAGATTGATATTTGAATAAATACGACCCACAAGACGTGCATATAAAATGGAAGATCGGTGTTTTGATGAAATCAACTGAGCAACAAACCAAAGCAACGTCAACGAGTTTAAAATAACGACATTCTTCGAGATCACGTACGAAACTCTGCCATGTTGTTACAAACAATGGCGGATTCACAGACAGAAATGACCGTCGGTGTAAAACGAGACTTTATCCCTGATTTTTTACTTCATGTTTCGAAGTGCCACGCCGGTTTTAAAAAAAATAATATGAATAAACAGAATAAAATAAATAAAACATAAAAGTTGACTTTTATTTCCGTGTATTTTTTTTTGTTACTTGTGTGACCAAACATTGCTATGTAAACACAATCAAAAATACCCCGTTCGCCATTTTTTTACGTTCTTTGACGATTATTCCTAACATTATCATAATTACTTTCCTCCAATGTTGTTGTTGTTATTGTGGTTGTTGTTGTTCTTCTTCTGCTTCTTGTTGTTATTATTATTATTATTGTTGTTGTTGTTCTTTTTCTTGTTCCTGTTGTTGGTGTTCTTGTAGTTCTTTTTCTTCTTATTATTGTTGTTGTTCTTGTTTCTGTTGTTGTTGTTGTTCTTATTGTTGTTATTATTATTATTGTTGTTGTTCTTCTTATTCTTCCTATTATTATTGTTGTTGTTGTTGGTCCTGTTGTTGTTGTTGTTTTTCTTCTTCTTTTTCTTCTTCTTCTTCTTCTTCTTTTTCTTCTTCTTCTTCTTTTTCTTCTTCCTCTTGTGGTTGTTGTTGTTAGGTTGCCCATAAAATTTAAATAACTAACGGCTATATTTAAATCATTTTCAATTTAAAAAAAAAAATAATTTCACAAAAAGCAAGGCGACAAAGCCACTAAGCCACAAGAGGAGTGATAATGAGTGTAAGAGAATCTTAGAAAAAGAAAAGCAGTAATAAGAAGATAAATAAAAAAATAAAAAAATAAAGGATTTAAATGGAAGATAGCAATTAACATTTCATTTTAAATTTTTTTTTTAGGGATCAAATAGGCTGGAAAGCAAGAAGCCAGAATCGAGTTCCACAAGCGAAATAGGCAAGAGAAGAAACTGTTAGCATAGACGAATGGTTTCATTTAGAAATTTCAAATGCAAAATGATGGGACATAGCGGCCCCTCTAGTACTGCTCTTAAATTCCTGAAGTCAAGGTAGCCAAGAGGAAAGCTTATCAGAAAAATTAGCATGAAAAATCTTTGGATTGTTTATATTTTCTGTACGAGTAATCTAAGATTTTTGGCTTTATAATTAACTCTGTTATGAATATATCAAAAAAAGAATTTTGTTTTTGAAGCAGTAAAAGTACAAAAAAATGTCTTAGAAACGCTAACACAATACGTACCGTCTTTAAACTGCAGCCATATGTAAGTAATTTTATTGAAATAAATTTGCATTATAAGTAATTTTGCATTGGTTATATAATCCATGTGAGTAATCTACGTTTTTTTTTTGAAACAATTAATTAATGTGACGTGAAATAAAGAATTCTGCTTTTAAATCATTAAAAGTAAAAAATATTTGAAGAAAGCTAATACAACCTCTACTGTCAAACAAAACGGCCATATTCAAATCATTTTGCAATTGCATCGGTTATATTTTTTGCATGAGTAAACTAGCATTTTTTGTATATATATATATATATATATAACTACCATTGTATGTAACAAAGTATTCTGCTTTTTAAATCATTAAAAGAAAACATATCAAAAGAAATCTAACGCGACATTTACTGGCAATAAATCATGGTAATATGGAAATAGTTTTAGTTCTTTCAATGCTTTTCTTCTTTCTTTCTTTCTTTCTTTCTTTCCTCCGTTTCAATAAATTGTTTTTTTTCATTCATTATTTCTTTACTCGTTCAATTTCTTTCTTTCTTTCTTTCTTTCTTTCTTTCTTTCCTCCGTTTCAATAAATTCTTTTTTTCATTCATTATTTCTTTTACTCGTTCAATTTCTTTCTTTCTTTCTTTTTTCTTTTTTTTTCTTTCTTTTCTTTCTTTCAGTTTCAATAAATTCTTTTTTTCATTCATTATTTCTTTACTCGTTCAATTTTTCTTTCTTTCTTTCTTTCTTTCTTTCTTTCTTTCTTTCTTTCTTTCCTCCATTTCAATAAATTCTTTTTTTTCTTTCATTATTTCTTTACTCGTTCAATTTCTTTCTTTCTTTTTCTTTCTTTCTTTCTTTCTTTCTTTCGTTTCAATAAATTCTTTTTATTCATTCATTATTTCTTTACTCGTTCAATTTCTTTCTTTCTTTTTTCTTTCTTTCTTTCTTTCCTCCGTTTCAATAATTTCTTTTTATTCATTCATTATTTCTTTACTCGTTCAATTTTTCTTTCTTTCTTTCTTTCTTTCTTTCTTTTTTCCCTCCGTTTCAATAAATTCTTTTTAGTTATTCATTATGTCTTTACTCGTTCAATTTCTTTCTTTTTCTTTCTTTCTTTCTTTCTTTCTTTCTTTCTTTCTTTCGTTTCAATAAATTCCTTTTATTCATTCATTATTTCTTTACTCGTTCAATTTCTTTCTTTCTTTCTTTTTTTTTTCTTTCTTTCTTTCCAAGAAAATACAATACTCGCCAGCGGCGTGAAGTAGGTAAACCACTGCTAGTCCTGGACTACTTAGACACCATATTACCCCGACTTACAGTAGTGTCTAACGTATTCATGAGGATTACGACATACCCATTTGTGCTCATAGGTCAGGGATATAACACTTTTCAATAAATTCTTTTTATTCTTTCTGTATTTTTTCACTCGTTTATTTTGCTTCTTTCTTTCTTTTCATATCTTCGGATTCTTTCTTTGTTTCATTTGAATTCTTTTCTTTTCTTTTTTTTATTATTTCTTATCAGCTCTCCTACTATACGCTTTCTTTCTCTTCAGTCGTTCTTTTTCTTTCTTTCTTTATTTTCAATAAGATTTTTTTGTTCATTCTTAATTTTTGCGCCCGTTTATTTTCTTTCTTTTTTTCTTTCTTTCTTTCTTTCTTTCTTTCTTTCTTTCTTTCTTTCTTTGACCAAATCATATTTCTTTCTTTCTCAATACATTTCTTTCTTTCTTTCATTTCAATAGTTCTTTTTTTATTCTTCAATTATTTCTTATCAGTCTTTGTTCTTACGCTTTCTTTCTTTTCAATCGTTATTTTTCATCGCTTTCTTTCTTTTTTCTTTTCAACAAGTTATTTTTCTTTTTTTTTTTCGTTAATTTTGCTTCTTTCTTTCTTTCATCTTATCACATTTTTTCTTTCTTTCATTTTTTATTGGTTCCTTTGTTACACTTTCATTTTTTTCTTCTTTTTTGTTCGTTTTCTGTCATTTCAATCGTTCTTTTTTTCTTTCTAATTTTTGTCTGTTTTTCTTTATATTAAAACATTAATATGCTCAACGGAATCTTCCCCTGATGTTCATTTGCACGTTTCTTTCCTTTTCCTTCTAACCTCCCTTCCTTCATTCTTTTATCTTCCTTCCGCCACACCCTTTTATATCCGACTTAATCCCAAAATCAATCCACATCCGAGAAAACTTGTAACGTTTGCTGGCGCAAAGTCAAGCCATTAATTTACTTGCTTTTCCTTTTTCCGAAACCGATTTTTTTATCCGCGCGAAGAGCCCGGATCGAAACAAATAAGCAAATCACGTTTCCAATTGTCGGCCGGCGTGACAATCTCGGCATCAATGGCTCAGGCAGCAACGAGCTTGTAGCCATTCGAAGTTAAAAACGAGACAATTTATTCATATGAGTATCTTTTTTCGCTTTCTTCATCATTAGCCTTGAGTTCCAAGTTCAGGCTTTCTCTAAATTAATACGCACTCACGCACGGGCACACGAACACACACACACACACACACACACACACACACATATATATATATATATAATTAGATAGATATAGCTTCTTCAGGACATATTCATAAAACATAATTAACATTGGACTATGCCGTAAACCAAACCAAACAAAACAAAACCAATATATACTGAGATAGATAGATAGATAGATAAAAAAATATTACCAGCAATAAAAATTTTGTCGGCATTAAATAAACCATTGCGGTTGATATGCCGTAAAATAGAACTAAGCAAACCAATATATACTGAGATAGATAAAAAATATTAGCAGCAATAAAAATCTTGTCGCCATTAAATAACCCATTGATGTTGGTATGCCGTAAAACAAACCAAACCAAACCTTAAAAAAACAACCCAAAATTTTGCTTCCGATCCGATAAATGAAAACAGGTATTGAAAGAGATCGTAAAGTGTGTGTGCGCATGAGTAAGAGAGAGAGAGAGAGAGAGAGAGAGATGGAATGTGTGTGTGTGTTGTGTGTGTGTGTGTGAGAGAAAGAGATAGATATATATACATATATAGATAGATAGATAGATAGATAGAGAGAGAGAGAGAGAGAGAGAGAGAGAGAGAGAGAGAGATTTTGCACATTACAATGGGTTCAACTCCTTCGAGCAGAAAACAAAATGAAACACGTCATCCCAATTCATATGAAGTGTGACATAGCTGATCACTTGGCACATCTTTTTCCCGCCATGTCACTTACTCTTTCTTGAAATGATGGTCAGATAAAAACCAGGTTTGACCTTGGTGCCAATATTAACTTCTTCGGGAAACCAAACTTACTCTGATTCAATATAGTATTAATTTGTGATGACATGCTTCCTGCTGCTTCCTTTTTACATTAAACATCTTTCATTCTTTTTAATGTTATTTTCACTACATTTTTCTATTTTTTGACTTTTCTGTTCTTTTCTTCCTTTTCTTCGCCTTCTTTTCATTTTCTTATCCGAATTTTTCTCGTTTTTCTGCGTCTCGTCGATTTGTTTTCATGTTTTACTTCTGATTTATTCATTTTTTCTTTTCAATCCACATCCCCTTTGGACTTTAAATATTTTCAAAGTGACATTCATCTTCTTCGTCTTTTCAAATTTCTTTTTCTTCTTTACATGACAGTGTCTTCTTGTTTTTGTTCTTTCTAAAATTCTTATTTATTTAATTTTACTTCACGGTAATTACGAAGTATTTTCTTCTTTATTCTTCTTACCAAAATGTCTGTTTTTCTTCCTTCCTTCCTTGCTTCCAACATTTTCTTTATTTTACCAAAGCGTCTTCCTTTCTACATTTTCTTCTACTTACCAAAACGACTTCGTTCCTTCTTTCATTTTCTCCTTTTTAACAGAGTCCTTCCTTCCTCCCTTCAACATTTTCTTCATTTTACCGAAGCGTCTTCCTTTCTTCCGACATTTTCTTCTACTTACCAAAACGTCTTCCTTCCTTCCTTCGTCTCCCTTCCTTCCTTCCTTCCTTCCTTCCTTCCTTCCTTCCTTCCTTCCTTCCTTCCAACATTTTCTTCTTTTTACCAAAGTGTTTTCCTTCCTTCCTTTCCCTTCCTTCCTTTATTTTCTTGTTCTTACGAAATCGTCTTTATTCCTTCTTACTTTTTCTTCTTACCACACCGTCTCCTTTCTTTTCTTCATTTTCTTCCTTTTTCCAGAGTCTTCCTTTTTTCTTCTTCTTACTAAAGCGTCTTCCTTCCTCTATTCCTTCATATTTTTCTTGTTAAACGTCTTTCTTTCTCTCGTTCTTTCTTTCTTTCTTTCTTTCTTTCTTTCTTTCTTTCTTTCTTTCTTTCTTCACACCAAAGTCTTGCTTTCTTCATTTTCCTCTTTTTATTCAAGTGTTTTCCTAACTTCCCTCCTTTCTTTCTTCCTTCCACCCTTTTCTTCTTTTTGCCAAAGCGCCTTCCTTCCTTCCTTCCTTCCTTCCTTCCTTCCTTCCTTCCTTCCTTCCTTTTTTTGGTTCTACTTAACTTTTCTTGAAAACCGTTCCCTGCAAATATCTTCCAATTTTTCTTCTTAAAATTAGTTGAAAATTTCCATCCTTCCTTCCTCCCTCCCTTCCTCTTTTCCTTCCATCTTTAATTCATCTTCTGAGTATAATTGCAAAGTGACTTTCTTTCTTTCTTTCTTTCTTTCTTTCTTTCTTTCTTTCCAAAGTATCTTCCTTTCTTCTTTTCTTCCACTTTTACTTCTTATTTGCATGTAAAGTGTTCCTGTTCTTTCTTTTCTTCTTGAATTTACTTCAAAAGTGACTTCCTTCCTTCTTTCCTTTTTCTTCCTTCCTTCACCTTAATTGGAAAATGTCATCTTTCCTTTCTTCTTCTTCTTCTTCTTCTTCTTCTTCTTTTTCTTCTTCTTCTTCTTCTTGCTTTATTCTTCTTCTTCTTCTTCTTCTTCTTCTTCTTCTTTTCCAAAGTGTTTTCCTTCCTTACTTCCTTCTTTTTCATCTTCTTTCAAATTTGTCTTAGATTTCCTTTATCTGTCTTTCTTCTCTTTGTCATCCTCTTTTTTATTTTTCGTTCTTTTCGGCATTTTTTCTTCCTTTTTTTTTTTTTCATTCTTCATAATTATTTTTCTTCAAAATTGCGTTATCACTCATCTTTATCCCCTCTTCACCAAACCCATCTTGAATACATTTTGCCTCATGTGCTTATTTTCAAAAATAATCTTAACACTGTCACATTTGCACATTCTTCCCATCTTGTTTTCATTTTCACAAATTTTATTTTTTAACTCCCTTCTTTTCGCCATTTTGTAAAATTGTAGCATTGATTTTAACTGTTCACATAATACCTCCATTTCCCCCTCTGCTATTGCTTTTCCTTCCATCATTCTTTCGTTTTCTTCTTTCACTCTTTCTGTTGTTCCTTCCTTTCCCTTACCCTTCCTTCCTTTCTTTCCCTTCCTTCCTTCCTTCCTTCCTTCCTTCCTTCCTTCCTTCCTTCCTTCCTTCTATCAATTTTCACTCCCTCACTTTTTCTTTATTTTTCTTTACTTGCTTTTTTATTTCTCGCCCTCCTTCGACACATTTTCTTTGTCGTTATAAATTCTTCTTTCTTTCTTTCTTTCTTTCTTTCTTTCTTTCTTTCTTTCTTTCTTATTGAAAACTTTTTCTTAAGTTTATCTTCTTCACTTCTCTTTTTCCGTCTTTTGTATATATTTCTGTTTTCTTTTTCTTTCTTTCTTTTTTCTTTCTTTCTTTCGCTTTTTGCACCATTCTCTCATCTAATCGTCTTCGTTTTCTTTCTTTCACCCTCTCACCCACAATTCATATTTCTTTCTTTCTTTCTTTCTTTCTTTCTTTCTTTCTTTCTTTCTTTGCTTCTCTCTCAATTATTCGTCTTCATTTTCTTTCTTTCTTTCTTTCTATCTTTTTTCATTCTTTCTTTTTCTTTCTTTCTTTCTTTCACTCTCACTCACACAATTAATATTTCTTTTTTTTCACTCTCACAATTCATGTTTCTTTCTTTCTTTCTTTTTTCGCTTCTCTCTCAATTATTCGTCTTCTTTCTTTTACTCTCACTCACACAATTCATATTTTTCTTTCTTTCTTTCTTTCTTTCTTTCTTTCTTTCTTTCTTTCTTTGCTCCTCTCTCAATTATTCGTCTTCATTTTCTTTCTATCTTTTTTCTTTCTTTCTTTTTCTTTCTTTCTTTCTTTCTTTCTTTCTTTCTTTCACTCTCACTCACACAATTAATACTTCTTTCTTTTTTCACTCTTACAATTCATATTTCTTTCTTTCTTTCTTTTTTCGCTTCTCTCTCAATTATTCGTCTTCTTTCTTTTACTCTCACTCACACAATTCATATTTTTCTTTCTTTCTTTCTTTCTTTCTCAATTATTCGTCTTCATTTTCCTTCTTTCTTTCTTTGTTTTTTTTTACTCTAATTCACACAATTCATATTTCTTTCTTTCGCGCTTTCTTTCTTTCTTTTCGCCATCTCGCTCACTCGTGTCTAACAGACAACGGGGCAGCCATGTTGTCAACTGTCAGTCTCAATTATCTTAGTTGACCACTGAACTGAGGCAGGGAACCATTTCATCCACTTTAAGCACGTTGTTTTCACTGTCACTTCATAAAAATATTTATGACCAAACCAGACCTGACGCGGCCAAAGAACAAATTCTAATATATACACGCGCCTTTGTAAGCGTGTACATATTTTCACTTTTGCATATGTGGGCATGTGCGTGCGTGTGTGTGTATGAGTGGACTTTAAAAAAAATGGCCGCCGTGATCGTTACAAAAGAGAATCATCGTTCGGTCTTAGAAGTGAAATTTTAGAAATAGATGAATCTTTAAGAAAGGCGTTTTATTAGATTGTTTGCGCATGAGTCAAATAAATATCAGCAGCCTTTCTAAAAAAAAATGGGGAAAAGAAAAAAAAAGAAAGAAGAAAGAAAATGAGAGCAAAAGGGGAATAGGAGAGAGATAAAGAAATAGATCCATAGAGAAACAAGGGAAAAGAACAAAAAAGAAATATAAAGAACAAAGAAAGAAAGAAAGAAAGAAAGAAAGAAAGAAAGAAAGAAAGAAAGAAAGAAAGAGAGAAAGAACACAAGACACAAGATACACAGTAAACAAGAGAAGGAGAAAGAGAGAAAAAGAACTAGAGGGAGAGAGAGAGAGAGAGAGAGAGAGATGAAGAGAAAGACTAAAGAAAGAAGCAATAAGCAAGAAAGAGAAAAAAACTTGAGAAAAGGAGAGATAAGAAAATGAGCGGAAAATTGAGAAAAAATTCATAGTAAAAAAAATTGGATAGAAAAAAAGCGGGGGGGAGAAGAAGAAAACCAAAAGAGAAAAGAAAAACATAATATAAGATTAAGGATAAAGAAAGAAAGAAAGAAAGAAAGAAAGAAAGAAAGAAAGAAAGAAAGAAAGAAAGAAAGAAAGAAAGAACACAAGACACGGAGATACAGACAGTAAACAAGAAAAGGAAAAAGAGAGAGAGAACTAGAGAGAGAGAGAGAGAGAGAACTAGAGAGAGAAAGAGACCGAGAGAGAGAGAGAGAGAAAGAGAGAGAGAGAATTAGAGAGAGAGAACAAGAAAGCAATAGAAAAAGAAATCTGTGAAAAGAGATTTTCGTTTACGCTGGTTAATTTAACCAATAATATGTAAACCCTTGGTGGATAATTTAAAATCGCATAAAATTCACCAAGAATTAATAGATAGATATTGCTCGTTTACACTAGAATAAAATAGTACTTGGTTCGAAACATTTTAATCCAAAAATTAGGCACAATTTCTTGTTAATACTGTTAAAATGTAGACCTACGACCAGTTTATACTAGTGTCAAAAAAGGTAAATATAGGCTTTGCTGAATAAAATGGATGTAATCTGGAAATCAGATCTACCTGACAACCTCAAGCGAGGATTCTTTCGAGCCAATGTAAAAGCGGTGTTAATGTATGGTACCTCTGTCTGGGCATTAACTAAAAAAAATGCATTCTATGCTTGATGACAGCATCCAACTAAATCACAACTCTATGAACCCATTCCTGATATTTTTGCAATCTTAAGCCAACACAGAATTCTCTTTGCAGGATATTGCTGGCTTGCAAAACAGGAACACGCACGCGAGTGATCTACTCTTTTGGACACCTAGTCTTGGAACAGGACGGGCTGTTGCTCAGCAACCACCTACATTGACCAACTATGTTATGACACAGAATGCTTCCCTAATAACCTTATGTTGTGGTGTCCCCCTTCTAAGAGTCTCTGTTAGACTCTACCGCCTACTATAAGTTTAGTAGGAGAGAAGGTTCGGGGGACAGTGAACAGTGAGAGGTGGATGGATTGAGCGCTAGTTCATTCGATACACACCCACTAGGCGTGTAATACTCTTCTGGTGTACTTACTGTTTAATATACGATATATATGCAAACCTGGTTTTTGTTGTTACTTAACCATTTACTTGAACACAATACTTTCGACTTCGATGCAGGGCCGTAATGTTTGGTGTGATTGACTCAGGTAGATATATGCTCTGTTTACTCGGCTGCCTTGGATAAAATGGATGAAAACTGGAAATCTGGTCAAGAAAGAAAGAAAGAAAGAAAGAAAGAAAGACAAAGAAAGAAAGAAAGAAAGAAAGAAAGACAAAAAGAAAGAAAGAAAGAAAGAAAGAAAAGAAAGAATAAAGAATACCGAACGTAGGAATTACATAAGCGATAAGAAAAAGAAAGAAAGAATGAAGGAAAGAAAGAAAGAATGAAGGAAAGAAAGAATGAAGGAAAGAAAGAAAGAATGAAGGAAAGAAAGAATGAAGGAAGGAAAGAAAGAATGAAGGAAAGAAAGAAAGAATGAAAGAAAGAAAGAATGAAGGAAAGAAAGAAAGAATGAAGGAAAGAAAGAATGAAGGAAAGAAGAATGAAGGAAAGAAAGAAAGAAAGAATGAAGGAAAGAAAGAAAAGAATGAAGAAGGAAAAAAGAAAGAATGAAGAAAGAAAAGAAAGAATGAAGGAAAGAAAAAAAGAATGAAGGAAAAAAAGAAAGAATGAAGGAAAGAAGAATGAAGGAAAGAAAGAAAGAAAGAATGAAGGAAAGAAAGAAAGAATGAAGGAAAGAAAGAAAGAATGAAGGAAAGAAAGAATAACGAATGTAGGAATTGCATCAGAGATAAGAAAAAGAAAGAAAGGGAAGTATGAAAGAGAAAAAGAATGAAATATTAAAGATAAGAGAAATTTCCTTAAGTGGGGATTCTTTCGCGTCACTATAGAGGTGGTGCTAATATATGGTACCACTGTCTGGGCATTAACTAAAACTCTGCAGTCTAAGCTTGATGGATCCTACACTGAGAGCTATATATAATATTTGGAAGCTTATTCGATCATTAACTTAAGAATTTTTCATCAGAAAATTCAAACAGGAAAAGATAAATTTTCATGGGTACATCTCATTGTTAACATCATTCTACGAATTCTTCAGATTAGTATCCTCATCTTTGTTGTTTTGATAATCAAATTCCAATCTTTATATGGCCGTTCTAGAGTTGTGTAATCTTATGGAATATAATTCAGTTCCTTAACTTCGTTTCTTATTTTGCTGACTAGGTTTCGTCCGATGTTTTCTTCAGATATTCTGTGGAGTAAATCGATTTCTCTTGAATTCATAAAAAGTAACATTCCTTTGTTCGCCATTTTGAATTTACGTTTACATTTTTTGGTTTATTGACAGTTCTTTCTTTCCTTTTCAATACTGCATTTCGGTTTTTCTTCTTTCTATACTCTTTTATTTTTTTAATCAGTATCACCCCCCCCATTCAAGGCAGTAAAGCCACGAAGACACAAGAGACTAGGTTACATGGTATCGAAGAATTAGGAACAGAAACATTAAAAGTAAGAGAAAAGTACATAGCGATTGACATTGCATTTAAATTTTTGTAGATTAATGTTGGCTGGAAAGCTTGGAGCTGGAAGCGGGTTCCATAAGTAAGACAATAAAGCCACTAAGACACAAAGGGTTACAGGGTGTGTAAGAATTACGAACAGAAACATTAATAATGAACTGGAAGAGAAACGAGTAATCAGGAGGACAGTACATAGCGATTGACATTGCATTTAAATTTTTGTAGATTAAAGTTGGCTGTACTGCAAGGACGGGAGTTCTACAAGCGAGAAGTGCGAGAAAAGAAAGTGTTAGCATAGAACTTACGGCTACATCTAGCCAGCTCAACTGTAAATTGATGAGATCTCGACGCCAGTCTAGTACTGCACTTAAATTCATAAAGTCTAAGTAGCATATCGAAGAGTTCTTCTGAACAAGTACAGGGTGACCCCAAAAAACGGGAACTTTTTAACAATGCAATAAAACCAAGAGTGATGGAAGAAAAATATTTTATTCATAGTAATTGAAACCTTAAAACATGCCATTTAAGAAACAATGATGGAATTTTCATTTTTTAAAAATTACGTCCTGTAGATGGCGTCCTCCTGTACAAATAAATTCTTGAAATCTGCTGTTGAGATTCCTCATTGACTGCTGCAACATCTCAGCTGGGATACTGTGAATTTCAGCTTGAATTCTGAATGGTGAAATGTTTACTTGCTCAAGGTCACTGGCTCGCAGTGTTGCCACTTGCTCATGTCTGGCAATACGCACTTCAAAAATTCCCGTTTTTTTGGGGTCACCCTGTACCATGAACGTATTCCTAGAAAAGACACAGGGAGGTAATGCTACGGCGGTGGGGAAGTGACTGAAACTGAGATGCCAGATCAGAACCAATAATATTGCTGATTCTTTTTTCGATTTTATCAAGGAGCTCTAGGTAAATCACAGAGGTACCGGACCATATGTGGCAGCAATATTAGAAGCATGGACGAATGGTAGATATATAGATATGTAAAATCTATTCTGCTGAGAAAAATTATTTTGAACGACACAGTGAACCGATATTCTTAGCAGCTGACCTAGCTATGGATTCAATATAGTCTTTCCACTTCATGTTAGCAGAGAATGTTAAGCCAAGAAGGAGCAATGAGTAATTTTGCTGGAGGTTAGCATCGGCCATATTGATGAAAAGCAGTGAAGGGTTTCAAAGATGATTAATGGAGAGAAGTTTTTATATGTCTTACTTTTTTTACACATATTCTCTTTAAATTTAAAATTCTTTCTATAAACCTGCTTACTTTCATTTGCCTTTCATTCTTTTCCAGTTTAAGTTTCCTTTTTATCTTTCGCCATTTGACATGACTTCTGTTTTTTTCTTTCTTTCTTTAACAATTTTTATCTTTTTCTATTTTTCTCTCTTCCTTTCTTTGTTTCTTTCTTACGTTAAATTTTCCTCATTTTCATTTCATGAATATTTCACCCACTCTTTTTCTCGTTATTTTTCCCTTCAATCCAAATCTTTCTTTCTTTCTTTCTTTCTTTCTTTTACCGCTTATGTAATTCCTACGTTCGGTATTCTTTTTTCTTTCTTTTCTTTCTTTCTTTCTTTCTTTCTTTCTTTCTTTCTTTCTTTCTTTCTTTTACCGCTTATGTAATTCCTACGTTCGGTATTCTTTTTTCATTCTTTTCTTTCTTTCTTTCTTTCTTTCTTTCTTTCTTTCTTTCTTTCTTTCTTTCTTTCTTTCTTATTTTCCACTTTCTTCCGCTAAAAATTCTCCAATTTCCCCTATCTTTTAATATTTCACTCGTTTGCTCTTTCATACTGCTCTTTCTATCTTTTCCTTATCGCTGATATAATTCTCACGTTGAATATTCTTTCTTTCTCTCTTTCTTGGTTTATTTGTTTGTTTGTTTGTTTCTTTCTTTCTTTCCACAAGTCTTGTCAAATTAATTTCAGATGTGACGGAGGACCCTACTCGATAAGATGTCTTCAAGATTCTACTGCAGATGTTGATTTGGGACGGGTGGCCAGAACTCCGCTACCATACCCACCTAAAAGTCTATCACCTATTTTCCCCGTGCTTCATACTTCCTTCCAAAGTTCATCACCCCCCCCACCCTTGAACTCAGTTTTTTTTATGCTTCGCATCGCCCCCCACTCCAATTTTACAGGTTTTAGATTTCCTTGTCTATTTTTTTTATTACTTACATTCTTCTGTGCGTTTAAGTCAAACTTCACAACCACAGGGTCACCTTTTTCTCGATACGTCCCTGGTACTTGCCTTTTTTTTTCTTCTTTTTTATATATATATATATATATATATATATATATATATATATATATATATAAATATTTTTTCTTCGATGACTCAGTTATTTTCTGCTTCCATAAAAAACAAACTTCTTGAATTCTATGTTCACTTATATATATATATATATATATATATATATATATATATATATATACTTATGAGCTAGTTAGATATGATAGATTATGATGGATGCATAGATAGATATATTAGATATAGATATGTGTTTGAAATGGAATCATATATATGATACATATGGATATATATATATATATATATATATATATATATAGTGAAGACATATATATATATCTATATATATATACACTTATAATATCGATGTATCTATCTATCTATATCTTCTATGGATATATCTCTATATATACTATATAAATTATATATCTTCACTTCATATATATATACATATATATATATAGTGAAAATATATATATATATATATATATATATATATATATATCTATCTATCTATCTATCTATCTATCATCTATCTATATATATATATATATATAAATATGTATCAATATGGTGATTTTCTTTCTTTTAATGATAATTTTTTTAAGCTTATCAGACATTATGAAAATAATTTCCATAAAATAAATAGACAACACTTGTCTATATTATTTAATGAAAATGCATCAATGAAAAATGCTGCCGAAATACACACACACAATATATATATATATATATATATATATATATATATATATATATATATATATAGTTATATAAGTGTATATATATATATATATATATATAAATATATATATATATATATATGAATAGATATATATATATATATATATATCTATCTATCTATATATATATCTTATATATATATATATTATATATATATATACATATCTATATATACATATATACATATATATATATATATATATATATATATATATATATATATATATATATATATATATATATCTATCTATCTATCTATCTATCTATATATATATATATATATATATATATATATATACAGATAGAGGGGAAGGAGAGAAAGTATGAGTACGAATCCTAGTCCCCAAATTTGTTATGTGACGAACAATTTTTTTTCCTCCGTATGTGTTCGAATTCTCGACGCCAAATTTGTTATGGAGTGATTTCACAGTGGAGGCTTGTATTTGTACTAAGTCGGTCGTAAAATAGGTTCGACGTACAAAACGTTAGGAACTTCATATAATAGGTATGACGCAGAGCAATCTAGTTGTGGTCTCTGATATTTTAGTATCCGACTAACGGTCGTCCGACATCGACTGACTGACCGACCCACTGTGCGACTACCGTTACTCTTAATACTCCTACTTATTATAGGTGGGAGAGTCTATTAACTAATGAATGAATGTGTTCCACTATAATATATATATATATATATATATATATATATATATATATATATATATATATATATATATGTGTGTGTGTGTCAGATAGAGGGGAAGGAGAGAAAAAGATAACCAGCATTTGTTGTATTTCTCCACAGTCTCTCTATATAACAAGCCACCATCGGTAAAAAGTATTATTCACCTGAAGAATTTCCTTCTGGGGAAGAAACGCGTCTGAATTTTTCTTCTCTTTTCTTATTATATTACCCCTCAAAACACACACACACATACACACACACGGCGAACTTAATATCAGTGAGAGTGTATTTCCAAAAGATGATTTTTTAGTTTCATGCCTTATTATGTAAGGTTGTGCTGCAATGGTTCTGAAATCTTTACGATAGCTGACACTAACGAGCTAATTGACACCATTGATATTTTCGTGTGTTTTTCAGCAAATCTGCTATGGACGCGCGTGGATTTCTTTACCAGGCTTTTCTCGAACATTATTTTAAATATCAAAAGCAGTTCTTTAAGTGTCACACGCGTTTCAAGGTCGGTCGAGGGACGGTTAAGATGACGAACGTTTGGAGTGACCAGTCGCTGACAAAATG